TCACGTATTTTATGTTTGTTTTAAAATTATTTAATTTTATTAAGACTTATTAAATAAATAATCATGACCGTGATGATTTTTAATTGCTACTTCTCTTAAATTAGATTTTTTAACTTGAAAAGTTTAAATATTATAATAATTTTAAATTATATTATAAATATTCTTTAACGATAGTGATTCTTGAACCTTGGTGTAGTTATTTGATTTTTATATATTTATTAAAGCATTAGATTGTAGCAAATATTTTTAAATTTTTTTACAATATTATATGCATATGAATTTCCAAGTAATTTATTTAATGATGAAAAATTGCTCGTTTGGTATGAAATAAACATATTGATATTAAATAATTAATTTTATACAATTAAAAATTCAGGCATAATTTCATTAATTGTGGAAAAAATTTTTTCTTCTTTAAAAAACAATAATTTTAACTTTTAATTTTTTAACGTTTATTATCGGTGTCTAGCAGGAATAACATTCCAAAAAGTCTTGATTTTTTAGCTATTTGATTCTTATTTATAATTATATTTGTCACTAAAGCATTAAATTGTAAATATTTTTAATCTTTTTATACTACCGTATACACAGATATTTGGAAAAGAAATCCTATGTAGTGATGATCCGTTAATTAATATGATGATAATCTGAAGTTAATATTTCTTCGTTTTATAATAACATTACTGTATTTATACATTTTAATTTTAAATTTATTTTTAAATATTTTAAATTATTTTTATTATTTTTTATTAAAATTAACATTTTAATTTTAATAACGATAAGTCTAATCTTACTTCAAATAACATACAAAAGCTTTACAACACAATATTACAATATAAATTTAATAAATTTAAACACTATTCCGTAGTAATGAGTAATAATCCGTAGTAATCTCTTCCGTTATAAAAGTAATTTTTTTGATTCTTTCGATTTAATTTATAAATATTAATTTAAATATATGTATTATGATTAATTATAAATTGAATTATATACTCAACTAGTGGATTCGCTCATACTGGCTCATTGTCGCTCATAATAAAATCTTTAATAACTTTTTGATGATGCTCTAAATAATCTGTTAATATTTTTAGTTAATTTTAGTATCTTTGTAGAATTCAGAATTCTTATGTTTATTAACGGTATTGTATACGATATATGGTAAAATTCATACTAATCAATTCGATATTGAAAACTTTTTTGATAATCAAACATAACAAGTCATATAATCGAAAACATTAATTGTATAAGTGTGTGATTTATTGATAATTTATTTTTATAATTTTGATAACTTCCAGAGTAAAGAAATTTTTTTAATAAACAATTTATTTTATAAATTTATTCTAATGATTTATTTTTTAAAAATATAATATATATTTAAATAAATGTATTTGTGTCACCATCGTCGCTTTTCATTAAAGTATATTATCAGTATTACAGATTAATTACTTGGAATATTATATTTTTTAAATTAAAATTATAGTTAAATATATATTTTTTAAATGAAGTTAAAACTTTATAATTTAATTGTTTTTTAACTAGTATTACAATGAACTCATTTCCAACAGCATAAACTGAATAATATATAAATTAATATTTTTAAATTAATATGTATATGTTTAGATTTATAAATAAAATTAAATCCTCAGCACAAAAAATTATTTAATTAACAATTCATTAATAATAAAAATTTAATATAGTCTTCTGAGACCATTACTTATACATCTTTAGCTTGTAGAATCATGGAGAATATTTTTAATTTTATAAAATTTTAAAGATTTTAATTTTTTAACATATTAATTTAATAATAATTATTTGTAATTATTTAAAATTTTAATTTTATAATTTTTATTACTGTTTGTAGCGTATTGATTTTAGCTTCATCAAAAAATGTTTGTTGGGCTTTTTAAAACATGTTTGCATTTTGAAAACGAATTTTTGAATTATAATAAATTTTTAAGAAATAATAAAAAATATTTTTTTAATTTTTTAAAATATAGAAATATTTTTTAAAAATATTAAGAAAAATTTTTAATTAAATATTAAGTATTTTTGTGTTTTATTGATTGGAAAGTATTTGCTTTAAAACAGAATGGGAATGAAAATACTGGAAAAGGTAAAACAAGCCATTTACTTAAGATATTTGCTGCCATAACTCTGAGAAAAGGGGTTGAAGTTTTTGTTGTTTTAAGAGAAGATAGTATCTACATATTAATGAAAATGGGTAAGCAAAAGTTGACTTTTTTCTAAAATGTGAGCAGGCCAAAAGTTAAATAAGCGAAGACGCGTTGTTCTTATCCTCTCACGGGTCGAATTTGAATATTTAATTGCTATACATATTTTTTATAATCTTTTTATTCAAAAATATTTTTATGTAAAAAATCAAAAAAAAATAAAAAAAATTTCTCATTTTTTCTTCACATGCTCTCCATTCTCTCTCTGATAAAATTATTTTTTGCTTTTACTAAAATTAAACCCCGTGATTTGATTTTTTTGTTTAACTTTCACTTTTACAAATTGCAATAATAATTCTCAATTTTTATATTTTATTTTTTTAATAAAAATAAATTTGATATAATAAAAAAGTGTGTTGAATTTTCGTTTGCTAACAAAAAAAGGAATTAAAAAATAACAAAATAAAAATCAGAATAAGGGAAAAATACACGTATTTTATTATAAATTAATTCCGGAAAAGATTTTTCGGCTCTAAAAACTTGACTATGAGCCCAGATTCAAAATAGATACGGTCCTAGAGTGTACTAAGAGTTTTGGGTTACATCTATGGAATTGTCTCTTGCGCCCACCTCTAGCTTAAAGATTTAATTTTTTTATTAAAATATTCATTAAAAATTTGCCAATTAATTTTTTAATACATTATAAGTCGGGAATTTTTTAGGGGGAAAACAATTTTATAGTCTTCGAAAAACGTGTCGGCATATAGATCAGTGAAACCCTCTTTCTTCTTTCCATCAAGTTCCTTCCACATTGGTTTCATCGATAAGGGCATTATTATGAACTTCAATTTAACTCTTCTAGCTGCAGCAATTTTCGACTCGAGCCCACCTACAGCATACAAACGTCCTTTGAGGTCAATTTCGCCCAGGATGACGGAGTCTATAAATTAAAAAAGTGTTTGTATAAAGTTATTTTAAAAATATACCATTCAGTGGGGGAATCTCATGGTAACGTGACAGCATACACACAACTAATCCCGCACCTCCACTTCCACCGTCTTTGGATGAGGAACTCTGAAATATTTAATTTTTTATTAGTGCGAATTTAAAAAATGATTTTTAACAAGGGATCGTCTTAGGGGGAACCCGTCAAAATTGGCTTAAAACAAAAAGTTTCCCCTCCGTAAACACTTCGCACTAATAAAAAATTAAATATTTCAGAGTTCCTCATCCAAAGACGGTGGAAGTGGAGGTGCGGGATTAGTTGTGTGTATGCTGTCACGTTACCTTGAGATTCCCCCACTGAATGGTATATTTTTAAAATAACTTTATACAAACACTTTTTTAATTTATAGACTCCGTCATCCTGGGCGAAATTGACCTCAAAGGACGTTTGTATGCTGTAGGTGGGCTCGAGTCGAAAATTGCTGCAGCTAGAAGAGTTAAATTGAAGTTCATAATAATGCCCTTATCGATGAAACCAATGTGGAAGGAACTTGATGGAAAGAAGAAAGAGGGTTTCACTGATCTATATGCCGACACGTTTTTCGAAGACTATAAAATTGTTTCCCCCCTAAAAAATTCCCGACTTATAATGTATTAAAAAATTAATTGGCAAATTTTTAATGAATATTTTAATAAAAAATTAAATATTTTAAGCTAGGGGTGGGCGCAAGAGACAATTCCATAGTTGTAACCCAAAACTCTTAGTACACCCGAGGACCGTATCTATTTTGAATCTGGGCTCATAGTCAAGTTTTTACAGTATATATGACAACAGATATTTTTGTTCAGACCTTCTCCTTTTAACGCTGCAGACGAGAATTTTTGGGCACTATATGAAAGGAGGTCGATAATCGTTTTTTTCATTACTTTTTTCATTAACTTTTTTCCTTCCTTAATTATAAATAATGGTCAGTCTTTTCTTCCTCGTTCAATTCCACTCTTTTTACCTGTGGCATATTCAAATGAGGACAGACAAAAACACACACACGGACAGACAAAACACGAGTGTTTTCTGTTCGTGTCCGTTCGTGTTTGTCTGGTGTTTTGTCAGTCTGTGTCGTCCGTGATTGTCTGTCCGAGTACGTCCGTCTTTTGTCAGTCTGTGTCGTCCGTGATTGTCTGTCCGAGTACGTCCGTCTTTTGTCAGTCTGTGTCCGTTCGTGTTTGTCTGTCCGAGTCCGTCCGTGTTTGTCTGTCCGAGTCCGTCCGTGTTTGTCTGTCCGAGCCTGTCCGTGTTTTGTCTGTCCGAGTTTTGTCCGTCTGTGTCCGTCCGTGTTTGTCTGTCCGAGTCTGTCCGTTATGACTGTAACTTGACAGACCATGACTTGTTACTCCTGTGTCGGCACAAAAAGAAAACAGGAGACCCTTGAAAGTATTAATTGCCTGTATTGAGTTATTCTCCTTTCCATTAATTCTTTTCTCTCATTTCTTTTGAATATGCCACAGGTGAAGAGAGTGGAATTGAACAAGGAGAAAAATGCTGACCATTCTTTCATATCAAGGAAGGAAAAAAGTTAATAGAAAAAGTAATGAAAAAAACGATTATCGACCTCCTTTCATATAGTGCCAATTTTTGTTTCCGTATGCCAAAAAATATTCTTTTTCTAAAGACGCACTTTTCAGAAAAATATAAAATACTAAAATATTAATCGCGGGAAGACAATTCTGTAAAAAAATAAAAATTTTGTCAAGGAAACATCTTTTACTGTAAATAGGTATCATTCGATAGAGAACCCTCGACTTACTATTGTGGTTTTATCTGTTTTCTTGCAAAATGACTTTGGGCCGAGCTTTTCCGGAAAATACATTACAAATAAGTATTAGTCAGTCATTAATTTTCTTATTAGTTTTAAAAAGTGCAAGTATATTTTGAAAATTTGGTGCAATTATTTCCCCAACTCTACCTTCTTCTGATGCAACCAAAGCTTCATCTATTGCTGTTCTTCCACAACAATCTTTAATTAATGGATTGACATTGCCTATATTGCAGAGAAATTCACTCAATTGATCAAATCCACGCGAGGATGACTTGAAAAAATTTTTTTTAATAAAAAAAGGAAAAATTTTAAGATTGCTAACTATATGTAAAGCTGTTCTTCCTGAGTAATCCGGTGTTGAAAGATCAGCACCAGCAGAATGCCAAGCCTTTATAGCAGCCAAATCGTTTGAGGCAGACGCTAGACAGAGTTCAACACCTTCAAATAAAATTAATGAATTTAAAAAATAGTCAAAAATTTGACTAACCTATTCGTTGCTTTGGTTGAACCAATTCCCCACCAGCTTGTCTAATCATTTTTATAACTTCGAGATTTCGTGAATGGACAGCACAAACAAGCGCATTCTCTTCGTTAGAATCTCTGAAAAATATGAGTTTTTTGAATAGATATTTTAAAATACAGTTAAAACCCATTATAAAAAACCCACTCCTCCTCAACCCATATTTAAGTTTTGTTTCAGAGGTGACTACCCAAAATTTAAATTACACTTCCATCCCCCTTCCCAATTTAACTACAACTCATTACACCAAATCCAAGCTACACCCCATTATAAGGTGCTATTTTTATTCAACTCATGTCTGACAATGAGTATATCTAGAAATAAAATCCAACAGTACTTAATAACAGTACTTCAGAAATAATTTATTATAAAATTTCTCAAAACCTAATGTGCACTGAAGCGCCTTGTCTTAGCAGGTACTCGACTGCTTCCACATTTCCCGCAGCAGCAGCAGTATGGAGTGAAGTTCGCATATTGTAATCACCTCCGGAAAGATCAGCTCCACTTAAACGAAGTTTCTAAATTTTGTAAATAAATTAGGACTAAAAAATTAATTTAAAAAACCTCAAGACTCGAAATATCATTAGCAAATGCTGCATGACAACTTAAAGGTGGAAAAAGAACTTTACGTAGCAATTGAGTTTCACTGGAAGAAGTTATTCGCAAAAGTTTTGCCAATCTGGGGACTAAAATTTAAAAAAATATTTTTTAATAAGCGTTTGAGCAATCCATTGACTCATTGACCTTCTGTAAATTTGTCATAATTTCAAACAATAAAAAAGCCAAATGTATGACAATAACTTAAAACAAATTAGTTGCTACCTTTCTGTCAGCTTTTTTTAGTCAGTAGGTCAATGAGTGGAGCCCGTGAGTGGAGCAATCCATCGGCTTATTGACCCTTCTGGAAATTTGAGTCAAAGATCCAATAAAAATGACAAATGTACCATTTAGTCTTAAGACTTAAGTCCAATTAGTTGTCACCGCCAGCCAATTTCTGGTCAGTAGGTCAATGAGTGGATTGCCCCTTGACCCAAATAGTATTAAAAAAATTTATTCTTACTCATGTCAAGTTCATTTGGCTGTTCAGAACGTGCAACAGTTAATTCACCAGCTAAATTATGACGCAACATCTAAAATTTTCAAAATTAAATTTCATTTCTAATTATTTTTTAAACATTATATACCATTGATTTTGTTTCCAAATTCCATTCTTGTTTGGCCAAAACATATGCTAATTTAGTTAATGCTGCTTCCGTTGTCATATCAGACCCGCAAATAACTCCTGCTTCTGCTAATATCTAAAAAATAAAATTTTTTTGATCGAAAAGACATATCGGGGAGTCAAGGGCAATCAGTCATGTCGGGGAGTCAAGGGCAATCAGTCAATCCAGTAAAATAGCTGTTCGTACCCATTATGTCCGTTCTGATATGCTCGGCTCCCTCCCATTTTAAATGTTTAAAAATATTTTCAAAAACCTTTCCATTTTGATAAGAAGCCGTCACAATTCCTTTAGAACACTGAGAAATATTCACAATAAGACAACCACGATTTACAGCCTTCCTTATTTCCTCCATTATATCAGTCCTTCCAGCAGGGATATTTCCAGATCCATAAGTTTGAAGAACTACCCCTTGGGTTGGTGGGCATAAAAGGGCACGAACCTGAGGGGAAAATCATTTTTAAATTTCTAAAAATAAATTTAAAAAAATAAACCGATTCAATAGACAAAGAAGGAAATATGCGAAGGACAACAACATTGCGGCAAAGCGTTTCTTGTACTGTAAAAGGACGCAATTCATTGCTTCGATAAATTGATTCATAATTAACTTGAATTTTTGGGGAATTTTAGTCAAAAAAATTTTTTAAAGTTAACCATTAATAGAAATATCCATAGTAGCTAAAGGTGCCATATTTGGACTGTCAAATGCCTCAAGTCCTCGATTATCAATTTTTGTGCATCGATTCCCTCGAAACAAACGATTATTGAAGAGAACACAAACTTCGGGGATGTCAAAATTACCGGCTACAATTAATGCCCCAATCATGTTTTCACGACCATCAGAGCGAACTTCACCAACTGGAATCTATTTACATATAGAACAAATCCAAAAGCATTAATACAGTTAAACCTCACTTATAAGATACATCTAATACTAGATAATCCCAATTTAAAATGTTTTAAAAATAAAGTTGAACACTAGGAGGAGGGGTCGTTCCGAGACTTGTCCGCTCCACGAGTTAGCCTGACACGAGGAGGTGTTGTTTTCTAGGTGATACTCACAATTTAATATACCGCTTATCGAGGACGTATCCAAGGGAGGGTGGAACTCCCCTCTCCCTCAAAATGCGGAAAAAAGGAAATTATTAAGTGAGGTACCAATTATGCACTTTTCTCTTATTACCAAGTTACAATTTTTCAAACACGAGTATCTTATAAACGAGGTCGACCGTATTCTCTCTCACTTGTGCTCCAGTAATAACCACAGGTTTTCCCAAATTCTCCATCATAAAAGAAAGCGCGCAAGCTGTATATGCCAAAGTATCAGTTCCATGGAGCACAACAAAGCCATCATAAGCAGAATATGACTTGCGGATGTCCTTAAAGAAATATTTGAAAATCATTTTTACTCAAAAAAACTTTAGCTATTCTAGTCCAATCATCAAAAGTCATGTCAGATGAATCAAGTAAAGGTTCGTATTCCACCAACTATAGCAAATTTAATTTTAAAAAAATTTAAAAAAATTTAAAATTAAAAAATTTACCCAATAAACAACCCTTTTCTTCATTCCTCTAACTAAAGGTAAAGCATAAGGTCTTAATTGAGCATCAGCATAGGCATACTCCACAAATTCCTTGTCATTTAAGGGTGGCAAATTTGTGATAATTTTGGGCAAATAATGCTGTTCTGGGGCATATACTGAAATTCAAATTCAATTTTAAAATAATTTTTTAGTCAAAATAACCTCCTTCACAGCAACATTTCATCCCAATTGTCCCTAAATTTTTAAATTTTTAATTAAAAAAAATCCAAAAAACCTCCAGTATAAAGCACAAGCACTTTAGACTCTTGTAAAAGTGTAAGAGGACTGCCTCTTTCCAAATGTTGATTGTCCCCCTCACTAATTCTCCTCAACTGATTTCTGCTAGTCTCAGGCTGTTGTAATTCTACCAATTTCTTAACGAAAAAATTTTTTTAATTAAATAAAAAATTTTTTTCTTACAGTTGCAGACAAATTTCTAAATAATTGATGATCAGAATTAATTGCTGTTAGCTTCTTTGGTTGGAAAGAATCGTCTAAAGGGGGATGAACTTGATTATTGTTAGAATTATTTGGTTGTTGTTCATGTCCGTTCAAATTAGAGTCTTTCATTAATGAAATTACTGAAAATTTAAAGAGATAATTAAAAAACTTGAGGAAAACAAGTTTTCTTGAAAATCATAAACTTAAAAAATATAACACGGAAAAGCAAATATAATTTCTAGAAAAGGAGAAATTAGAAAGGTCTCCGGAAAATAAAAACAATTTTTTTACAAGAGTACAAATTTGAAAATAAAACATAATATGAAAACGACTTTTCCGGAAAATTAAAAACACAAAAGGACTCCCCAGAAAAAATTAAATAAAAATTAAAACACACATTTACAAAAGCACAAACTTAAAAATAAAACACACACTTGAAATACACATGAATAACACAAACAAAAATACAAATTTGAAAATATGTAAAACACAATCACAAAAGTACAAACTTAAAGTAAAAAAGAGAAAGAAGAGAAATAGAACAAGTTTTGAGAAAAATAAAAGACACACTTGAAAACAATTTTTCCGGAAAACTTTTAATATTTTTTCAGTAAAATTAGGTAATAGGTATGTATTTTGTCATAAACATTCCAGAAAACTTGAATAAAAACACATAATATTTAAAAACACTTGTTTGGGTGCAAAAATAAATGAATGAAGGGGAGCAATCATTAAACGACTACTTCAATTTCCAGACATTTTTCCACGTTAAATATAAATTTTTCTTTGGTTTAATTTTTATTTTTACTTTGTAGACAACCGTTTTTATTTAAAGTAATCAATTTATTGGAATTTGCTAATTGTGAAGAAAAGAGAAGAAACAAAAAGCTTCTCAAATAAAAACGGTCGGTTTTTGGGAGGGAGAGGAATGTTTCAAATTAAACATGAGTTTTGATAAAAGGGTACAATAATTAATTTAGCTATGGGAGGAGAATGAAGGGAGAATGAAGGAAAAATTAAAGGGAAATTAAAAGAAGTTCTCATGTGAGAATAAAAAAATGTGATAAAATTGAAAAAAAAATTTAAGAAAAAAATTTAAAAAATAAATAATAACTTGTGTTAAATCACACAATTTTAAAATTTCAAAAAAATGCACGAAAACAAATTTATTGCCAGAAAAACAATTTTTTAATAATAATAGGATTTATTAATAGAAATCTCAAACCAAGTAGTGATCGAGATTTTTAAAAAGCCTGGGCGTGGTCATGTGTTTGATTTAATGACCTTGGCCGAATAATGGGCCTGTAGTCCATAGTCCAGGAAAAACCCAAAGAGGTCAAAAAATGCCTGGACTCTGAATAAAGGAAAACCCCAGGCCTTTGTTCAGACTCAGTTCGATCACTATTATAAAGGTATTTTTGTAAAAAAAAAAAACCAAAAATTTCCAAGTATATTCAAAATTTCAATCAAAAATTTTCAATCCCGCAAATTCAGAACAAAGACGAGAAATAATACATTCAGCCGAAGATCCAGAAGAAGACAGGCTTGAGTTGGAACTGAAATTTAAAAAAGAAAAATTTTTTTTGAAAGAAAATTCAAACTTTTTAATGCTGTTCTTCTTATTCTTCTTGTTAGACAACCATTCCTTATCTGCAGCATAAATCTTCTCAAAATAATGTGGCAAAAAACGAAGCTTCTTGGTTGCAGAACAATTAAGCAGACGCGACTCATCAAGAAAAGGAGGCGCTTTGTGATCTTCTGATGCACTTGAAATTGTTGAGACTGTGTCTAAATTGGGAAAAATGGAAATGTCAAAAAATCAGAGAACCCCCCAAAAATTCTGCCCTCACCAAGATTTTCTTGAGAAAGTCCATCTTGGTGAAGTTCCTCCTGTGAATGTCCTTGCTGTTGTTGCCTAAGTCCAACATTAGTCTGTATAATTCTTCCAACATGAACGTCATTAATTCTTTCAAGTCGAGACGGCTGGTCCAAATCATTATAATAAATAGGGCGATAAAAACTGTAATTAAACAACGGCGGTCGAATATGATGTTGATAAGTCGATGCAAGTCGTCGATAGGAATAGTCAGAAAAAGCAACACGATGACGAGAATTGCGCTTATTTTTGCTACAAAAATAAACATGAATTAAAAAAAGATTTCATACCGTCTCGAAATAGCACTGTCAATCAGATTCATAACATCAGAATTACCCTCAGTCTTTATCACAGCAACCCTCAACTTCTTTTCACCATCGCGAAACATGTGTACCTTTCCATCCAACTTTCTAATCAAATCTTTGGGATCTTCCAATTCCAAAGCATTCATATAATAAAAGAAAGTTCGGGACCAGTCTTTACTGCAAAAACATTTTATATTAAAATAAAGTTACAGAAACATACTCGAATTGTCTAATAGCCTCAATAAGTAACCAACCATCACGAGTGCCGCCTGCATTCTGAAAGAGAAATTAACTCAAAAAATTTACATAGTATATAAACCGCTAAAAAAGCTAGAAAACGAGAAAAGGATACGATTACAGTGCATTAAAAATCATTTCCCTTCACTGGGTATCGAACCCTAGTCATTTCTCAAGGGAAACTAAACATTGTCCCACTACACTAAAGTGACAATTTTTGTAAATGGAATTCCATGGAAAGGTTACACGAATGCTAAGCAAGAAGGCACTCATAAATGAATAAAACACCTCAGAACGATCAGATTCACTAGTTGCTACCGTTGATACAAATTTTGTAGAAAACTCTTTAAATATTTCTCCTTTATCAATTCCCCCGGATATAATACATCCATTGTTGTTAGTCATAATCAAAGAGTATAAATAAAGAATGTAATTTTAATTGAATTGGAACTAACAATAAATCGTTAATGAACACAACAAACAAAAATCGAAACTAAAAAATTACAACCAAAACAACACAACAAACGAAGGAAAACATTTTTTAATAAGCTTTCTTAAGTTGCCTAACTTTCTCTTCAAAATGCCTACTGTCTCTCTTCTTATGCAGACATTTTTTAAATAAACATTCAGATGGGCATTTTGACTGTTGAGATTTTGTAATTTATATTTTGAAATTGCGCACAACTTTTGTTTAAAATTTGTACTCTTTTTTTTTACTCTTTTTCTCTGATTTTCATTCAATTGTCTTTTTTGTTTTTGTTGGGAATTGTTTTTGCTTAAATTAACTCGGTTTCAGGTTTCTTTACTCGTTTTTACCTCTTCAACTTTGCGTTTTTATATTTTTTTTTAATTTTTCAGTCAAATAACCTTTAAAATCTCGTCTCTATGGCAAATTCACAACGTAAACCACTCAAAAAATACAAGGACAACAAAAACAACCTGACCAAATGGGAGCAGGAATTGGACGAAAAGTTGAAAGATCGCAAAGGTTTTTGGCAACATTTGGAAGAAATTCAACGTGACCACCCTCGGCCTAGCTACTCTTTTGATGGAAATGATTTCTTTTTGGAACAAGAAGAGGACAAAATTAAATTGAGTAAAGATTTTGAAGAAAAGAAGAAGTATATGGAATTTGTTTTTGAAACGTATTTAAGGCAAGAGAGGGAAGAAGGAGAAGGGAAGGAGGATGATAAGGAGTCTGATAAAAATGCTGATGATGGCTGGCAAAAATTTCCTACTTTGACAGGTTTTGGATTTTTTAAGTGGGTTTATAGTAGATTGAATTGGTCTGGGAGCTAGGGCGTATCCGGGGGGTTGTCGAAATTCGGTTTGGTTAGGTCCTACAACACTTGTTCCAAAATATAAATAAAAATATTTATCCAAATATTTTCCAAATAATTAAATTTATTCCAACAATAAATAATAATATAAATCGAAGAGAAAGGGATTTAGTTTAGATTAATACATAAAGAAAGAATGATTGAAATCCAAAGAAAGGGAAAAATACATTTAGTTTTATAGGAAGTTAATTAGCGCCACTAAGGGCGATCATTCTTTCCTATTCTCAAGCTTAGTCATCGCCGCTAAGGGCGGAAATATTATACTAGCACAAATGAATGAGAAACTTAATCGCTACAAAGAGTGAAAAAATGATTAAGTTTAAAGAGATACGGGGACAAAGATTAAAAAAGAAAGAAAATGGAACACGTGAAAAATATGTGAAATAAATAAAAATTTATTAATATTTTACTAAAAATGTCGAACTTCGACATCCTCCCACTTTAAGAGAAATTGGTTCCAGACATCTTTCTTTTGTTCTTTGCATCCTTGGCATTTGTGCGCATATTCTTATTGACCAGTTTCTGCCGAAGTTTGCCATTTGTTGCATTGCTAGGTTGTTTACCTGCTTAGCTGAGGCTCCAACGCCTAATTTATTGCATGGTTCCTTCGTTAGTTCTGCAACGTTTTTCCTGGGATAAAATTCCCTAAATCGGTATTTGCTGCTATTGCTCCCAAACGAGCTTTTAGATCCCGAATTACACGCTTCATCTAAATTTTTCATTCCGAAAAAATTATTTCTCACTGAAACAAGCGTGGTACCCAATTTGTTCAAATTGATGAGGATTGAATCTAGAAGTTCCGGCTCTTGAAATGACGTGACATTATTCAGGCCTTGAATTTCTAGTCCCTCAAACGGTTTAATCCAAACAATTTTCCTCAGAATTTTCTTATACTCGTTTGCCTTTTTCAGGACTTCAAACAGTCCTTTATTAATACTTTGCGTCCACACTACTAACGTGTCTACGCTTCTAGTGAGCTGAATCTCTCTATCGAAGAGATTGGCGTCCCAGGATATTGGTTTAAAAACCATTCCTCTTATATTTTCCTTTCTTAATATTTTTCGAAGCTCTAAGGCTTTATTATCTCCAATAACCACTATAGGTGACCTTGCCACTAAGGGCCTTCTGTTGATAATTGGTTGCGCACTAACACGCGTTTTCCGTTTTATACTAGACGGTCTCTGTTCGTCCTCTAATGGACTTATTATTGCATTAGATTTCACATATTCCAATTTTTGGTTACTAACAACCTTATTCGCGCATATATAATTCTTAATTTCCTCATCTAGCTCGCTTTCAGTTTCCAAAGGTTCCTTACTAAGAAGGTTCGGGCAATATTTTTTCTTATTTCCACCATTAATTCTTTTTTCAATTTCCGTATTAGATTTTTTACTGGTGGGTACCTTCAATACCAATGACGTATTTGTCTCATCGTAGATCCCTCCCCCCTTAAAAATTTTTTGAGATGCCTTTTCGGTTCTAACACCGTAATTATCTAATTGATCACCACTAACCTCTAAGGGTCTGTCATAATAACCCCCTTCAACGGACGTTAAAGCTCCGACAATTTCTTTCTGTGTAGCCGCGGCACTAATGCCTTTGTTTTGCTCTTGTATTTCTTTTGCTTTGCCGAATTTGCGCTCACACAATGCTGAATGATGATGAGCTCTTCCGCAATATACGCATCTTATTTTAGGGACATGACAATTGTTTGCGAAATGTCCTTTTTTGAGACACCTGAAGCAAAGTCCTTTTTCACTTGCTCTGTCTCTTCGACCTTCTGCAGTTCTAAGACTGCTGCATTCTACGGGTGTATGCGGTCCATCACAGAACTGGCAAGGCCATTTTGTCTTACTTCTATTTAACCTACTTTCTTTTCTACCTCTAGGTCTTTCGACTCTTTCGGGTGAGAATTTTTTGGTAGTAGATTTGTTGGAATAATTCACGGCAAAATTCATCGTCGGTTCTTCATTCCTGTCACTAACGACCTGATTGGGCTTCTGTTTTACTTCCAATCTATTTCTAATTTGATTGATGGCACGCCCTAAGGCGTTTCTGAATTTTGCTGTATTCCAATTATCATTGTCTTCTGCATCTTTAATATTAAAATATTTCCCCAAAACTTTTGTAGACACTTTTCCTTCTAAAGTCATGAAATATGGAGCGTCGTCTATATTTTGATTCAAAGATTTCAGTTGCCTGCATAATTTTTCAATTCTCAGATAAAGCTTCTCATCTTCTTTGAAACTTTCGGAATTCGGTAAATTTAATAATTCATGGTTCAAAGACCGAATCAACTTCTTTTCACTCCCAAATTTAGCTAACAAAAGGTCTATTGCCGTATTATACCCATCACTAGTCATTTGTAGACCTCCCACCAAGTCTTTTGCTTCGTTGTCAAGAATTGATTCCAAAATGTTAAATTTCTCCAAATGGCTAAGTGAGTTGTCTTCGTGTATTAAAACACGGAATGTTTCCCAAAACGAACACCAATTTTCTATATTACCGTCAAAGCGGCGTAATTGGATTGCTGGTCTTTGTAATCTCTTCATTTCAGTTCTATTCGAGTTCTGAGACTCGTTTGTAGATTCTTCTAAATCAATTGGCAAATCAAGTCTTTGAGCAAGACTAATTCGATGTTGCTTCCAATTGGCCAAATGTGTGTTAGCAGCCTCCAAAATATTCTTAATTGCTGCCTCTTTTATCCATCTGCCATACTGAGCCAATTTCTCATCCCGCACTGAGGCAGGCAGTCTTTCAATTTTCTCCTTAATTTTATCATCTGCCTCCCACACTATTACCAAACTTTCCTCCAAATCCTTAATTGTCTCCTTAGTCCAATACAACTGCCTTCGCAACTGGTTAACAGTTGCGTCAGGCCCTAGGTCTTGCGGCATCTCTCGTACCAAACAAATCTTTAACTTCCCTAACGAAGTTTCATACTTCAAATTAATATACTCCGTCATTTTCCTTATACCTAGGAAACTAAGTTCCTTTTAATAACTAGTATGGAGGAAAACCTAACTTCTCCTTTTTTAATTTATTTTATAAAATTCTAAAATTTATTGAGTCTGAACCAAAGTCAGTTCAATTTAAAAAAAATTTAACCCTATTTTTAGATTAATTCTAATCTATCCCCAAAATGTTTAGATTAGCTTTTCAAGCTAACTTTAGGTGAAAAATTTCTAAATTTAATATTGGCTCTTCCAGGCCCTTTATTTTACTTAAATTTTTTTTTAAATATAAATTCACCTCCCCGCAAGTGTTGTCCAAGTTTTGATGCCGTGCTCGCCAGCTGTCGAAATTCGGTTTGGTTAGGTCCTACAACACTTGTTCCAAAATATAAATAAAAATATTTATCCAAATATTTTCCAAATAATTAAATTTATTCCAACAATAAATAATAATATAAATCGTAGAGAAAGGGATTTAGTTTAGATTAATACATAAAGAAAGAATGATTGAAATCCAAAGAAAGGGAAAAATACATTTAGTTTTATAGGAAGTTAATTAGCGCCACTAAGGGCGATCATTCTTTCCTATTCTCAAGCTTAGTCATCGCCGCTAAGGGCGGAAATATTATACTAGCACAAATGAATGAGAAACTTAATCGCTACAAAGAGTGAAAAAATGATTAAGTTTAAAGAGATACGGGGACAAAGATTAAAAAAGAAAGAAAATGGAACACGTGAAAAATATGTGAAATAAATAAAAATTTATTAATATTTTACTAAAAATGTCGAACTTCGACAGGGGTCGATTTTGGGGGGAGGAGGGGGGGGGGCTAATATTGGGGGTGTGCCAAAATTTTGGCGTTTACATTGACGTTCCAGTCGCCCGTGCCTGTACGTGTTTTCTGTGTTTTTTTCTGTCTGAGTCAGACACGGTTAGTCAAAGCACGGACGGCCTTAAGGCAGGGGTTAATAAGCTGAATTGGTCTGGGAGCTAGGGCGTATCCAGGGGGTTGATTTCGAGGGGGACGGACTAACATTGAGGTGCGCCAAAATTTTGGCATTTACCTTGGCATTCCAGTGTGTGTTTTCTGTCTGTTTGTACGTGTTTTTCTGTCTGTTTTTTCTGTCCGTGTTAGACACGGTTAGTCAAAGCACGGACGGCCTTAAGGCACGAATCAAAATTGAGAGAAAAATATAAAAAAATTATTTTTAGAGATGCTTTTCGCAATAGATCCAAGTTTGAACACTCTTGGAGGTTCACCCGAAGGCGATGGAAAGGTTAAAATGGAAGAGCTTGACACAGGTTTTTTAAATTATAAAAAATTGAAAATCTTTTTTTAACCTTTTTTATTTTTAAGAGATTTTTGAGGCATCATCTCCCTCAATTATTCTAGCCAATGAGCAACCTATGACACCAGTGCCCAAGGATGTTCAAGTAAAAAATGAATCGAATTAAATTATTAAGATTAATTTTAAAAATATTTTTTTGATTTTTTGCAAATTATTTTAGTTTTTCTGGTTAGATAAAAATATTTTAAATATATTTTTCTGGTGTGAACTGGAGATCGAGCTATGCCTGGACCAAGGCATGGGGTTTTTCCTGTACCCAGAGTCCAGGCCCAGTCGATTTGTGACCTTCCTGGGTTTTTCCTGGACTACAGGCCAATGATCTGTACCAGGTCAATAAATCAAACGCGGGAACAGGCTTTTCAAAAATCTCAGTGTGAACATGTTATCAGCTTTTAGGGAGAAACTATTTCGAAGCGCGTCTTATTTTTATGATTTCTTTTACATTTCTATGTCTAAACTTTTTTAAGTTTCCGACTTGATTTTCGACATCTCCGACTGTTCCATTTCTAATTTTCTGTTTACTAATTTATTCTAAAATATTTTAAATTATTTTTCAGAGCAGACCCAGAGAAAGGATATTTTTTTATATTAATAGTTTAATAATTTAAATTTTTTAATTTTCCCATTTAATTATTTTCTTTTATCCCAGCACTTTCAGTTAATTAATTGCCAAGTTTTTCACAACGAATGTATGTAACAGTTGCAGTACACCATCCAGCATTAGGATTCATTTCTAAATATTTAAATGCTGGTTCAGAAATATCAAGTTCATAAGGCTTCAAATAATCAGTTTCATCCATAATTGGCATTATAAGACTAAAAATTAATTAAATGTCATAGTTAAGTTTATGAAATGCCTATTTTTAGCGCCTCATAAAAGGCGAGAGAGAATCGGCCAAATTAATTCATTCACTTATTAATTAGTTCTGGGCCCGATCAAAAGTTTGCCTGTCCTCTCTCCCTTTTAGTTATTAAATATATTTGTTGAATAAAAAAGTTAAAAAGAAGGCCTTCATTTTAATTGGTGGATCGGCGCACTTCAAGCAAGGGTGGGTTTCCACTCTTGGGGCCCAACGCCGACTAGTTCTTGTTTAGAGATATTTAATATTAAAATTATTTTTAATTAAAAATAGAAAAACTAACGTTTTATTTTTATATTCAATCTTGACACATTTATTAACACAAACTTGATCATTACGAATATAATGGTCTTTGATATCAGTCAAACATGAACGTACCCATTTCTTTACTGGTGACCATAAATCACTACCAACACAAGCATGATAAGGCTATAAATTAATTTATTTAATAAAATAAGATAGCAGCTGGGCTATAGCTATTTTCTCTCCTTTAGCTAGTGCGAAAGGTCATTCGGCGGCTGGGAGCGAACCAGCATCTTCTTAGACCGGAGTGATGTGTTAGCCATTACAACACGCCGCCTACTGCATAGCCTTAGTAATTAAATAGCTATATGCGTTACATAAACTAACATATTGAATTCCAAGACCACATTCTCCTCCATAACTATGAGCATTAGTTAATGGGTGCCAAACAAATCTTCCAGTTTTTGGTTTATTTAACCATTGATCAATAACTCCAGGCATATCAGGTGTTAATGGTAAACAAGTCTCTTTTGTTGTATAAAGTGGAGGAACAGTGAGTTGCTTGTAACATTTGAGCCTGGTGGATATTGACCTGATGGAGGAGCTGGAACTGAAGGAGATAAGCCTGGTGGAGAAGGACCTGAAGGAGCTGAACTTGGTGGAGAAGGACCTGAAGGAGATAAGCCTGGTGGAGAAGGGCCTGAAGGAGCTGAGCTTGGAGGACTTGGCTGTTTTGGTTGGTTGTCGCTTGGGGGACTTGGATATCCTTGACTTGGTGGTTGTACTGGTGGATGAATTGTTCCAACTGCTGGTGGATTTATTGTTGATTTTTCACCATTTTTATGATGTGATTCTTTAGGACAGTGAGCAGAAATAAAAGTTTTCAATAAAATAATAGCAGACAGTAAAGTTATAAATAATTTTAAGGATGGCATTTTTTCGAGAAAATATTTGAATTGATTATTCAATTTAAATTTTTAAGCTGACAATTGTAAAGTTGGAAGAAGTGATTAGAGAAGACAATGTTTAGGTGGTTTTGGGGGAGGTTTATAAAGGGGCCTAACGGCCATGGTTTTTGGCCGTTTGGCAGAGATCAATAGAAAAGTTTGGCAAAAAATGATGAAATTGTGGGCTGTGCAAACAAAGATAAGAAAAGTTTTTCTGGATAGAAAATCCCAGCAAAACTTCAAAGAATAAAAATTAAGCTTAGAAAAAGAGAAATGGAGAGAGTACTCAAAATTATTTAAAAAAATTTAATAAAACGTTTAATAAAATTATTTAAAATGTTTGAACAATTGAAATAAATATTAAACTAATTATTTGAATTTTCAATAAATAAAAATTTTTTTCGATGCTCTAACTAATTAATTGAAGTAAATGCCACGTTGGTTAAATTACCCTTCATATTTTCGATTTTTCGTTTTTTCGTCTTCGTCTTTCACTTGTTGCCGAATCAGTTTTGGCCAGTGTTTATAAGCTCGTGCCAAAATTTGTACTCGTACTTAGGTACAAAATACGAGTACGAGAAAAAAAATAGGCTGGTACGAAGTACGCGAGGCCAAAAATAAGGGGATGGTAGGAAGTACGAATACGAGGTCAAAAAATGGGGCGGTACGAAGTACTGAAATTTATAAACACTGGTTTTGACATACCCCTTGGGTACCCACCAGGGTTTTTGGGTATCGGGTTGGAGCGTTTTCATTTCGGGTTTCGGGTTTGCAAAAATATCGGGTACGGGTTTCGGGTTATAAAATTTTCATTTCGGGTATCGGGTACAAAAAAAGACCGGGTCTCGGGCGGCAACCTTGGTGCCCACCTCTCTTTTTTCTATATGTATTAATTTTTACTTTTCTAAAAAAAATTTTTTTCATCTTTTCTTCTCTATCTTGGCCATTTATTTTATTTTTCAAATATTTTTCCATTTAATTTTAACAAAAAATAATTTTTTCCAAGTATTTTTTCATAAAAATATTAAGCATTGGGCAACCACAATTTTTTTATTTTTTGTTTAAAATCCCCAAGAGATTTTCTGTTCATTTTCACGGTCAAACAGCAATCTAAAAAGCAATGTTTTTTATACATATTTGTTAGATTGGTTTGTTAAGTGTAAAGAAAAAATATTTTTTTAACTAAAAAATATTTTTTTGCCTATTTTTTATTTAAAATTGGGGTAAGAAATATAAAATTTGTATACCATGGTATTTTGATAAAATCCGTGTTTCCAGGTCTTCGAGGTTTTAGCTCGAAGACCCGGATCAGATCTAAGAGAAAATCCCGTATACCCTGGCAGTTTGAAAACTTTGAGCTCTAATAATGTCATTTATTTTACTTTAGTGTTGTTAGTGTAGTTGGTAACGTCTTGGATTCGTATACCTGTCAGGATGTGGTTCGAACCTTTTCAGTGGGTAATGCATTTATTTTGCTTATTTTTATTAATTTATTCATTTTTTTAAAATTTTTTCTAACCTAATTTTTTTTTATTTTTTTTATTGTTGTCTATTTTTGCAAATTTTGTACTTTTTGTATTCAAATAATTTTGTTTTTTCTGGTCTCTATTTTATTTCAGAAATCATACTCGACTTTGAAAAAAAGTTTTTTACAAATTCCAAATTTAAATATTAATTTTTTAAACTTTTCTAAAAAATTTTCTGCAAGAAAAATTTTTTTTCTCTTCAATTCGAGCGAGATTTAAGGGGGAGGGGGGGGGGGCTTTTTAATGTCTAAAATACTTGAAAAAGCGATGACATTCAACATTGGCCATTTATTTTTGGCCTGACTTTTTAACTCCCCTTTCTTCATTTTTAACACACAAAACAAACATTTCCGCCTTGAAGATTCCTCTACTTTCTAGACCACCCTCTTCTTTATTTCCTCTTTTTCCCCTTCCCCTCATTTCCCTACCAAATTCTTTTTTCCGCTTTTTATATGGACTTGGAGCTTTATTTGCTTTTTTTCTTCAAGTCTTAACAATTTGAGTATTTTAGAACTTCGTCTTTATCCTACCCTCATCTCTCATTTATTACAATTTCTATTCTACCCCTCATCTCTCATCTCTACCCTATCTCTTTATCATGTTCTCAAGCTCTCGGTCAGATAGATAGCATACCACAGATCCCTCATAGCCTCTCAGATAGCTCTCCTCTTCTTAAGATATCCCAAGATGCTCGGGATACCCTAGATATCCTGATCTCTCATCTCTTTCCTATCTCTTTCTATCCTCCTCAAGTCCCTTAACCTCTTAGATATCCTCTCCTCGTTATATCCCTAGATATCCTCCTCTTCTCAGATAACCTTAGATACCCTTTTCAGACCCCTGTTCCCCACGAAATAGAAATCCCTTTCTATTTAGTTAAATATACTTTAATGTCCACCACCTTCCCCACGTCCTCTCCCTTCCCCCAAAACCTTCACAACTCTTTTTGACCTTTTATCCCTCTACATATTTTTCTTTAAAAATAACTTGGCACACAAAAAATGCCCCAAAACCTTTTGCCCGTTTAAAAAATGTTAGAAAGAGACCTGTGGGATCCTAAAAAAATTGAGCAAAAAAATATTCCCAGCTACTCAGTTTTCATTTTTTTTCAAAGTTTAAAATGACCATTAGACAGGCACTTTTTTTACATTTTTAATAACTAAATATTTTATTTCTTCTTTTAAATCTGAAATTTTTTTATTTTTTTAAATTTTTTTGGTGGGAGAATCTTTTATTTAAAAATATAGTATCGTAAGAAAATAAAGTTTTTTCTGGAGGTTTTTAAGATTAATAGTGTGAAAATTTTTTCCAGCCCTTCTCGTTATCACCAGTGCTGGGTATTTGGCATTTGTTGGCTCCGAGCTTTGAAAATCTTGGATCCAGCTTCGGTGTTTTCTAAATCTTAGCTCCGGGGTCGGGCTCCAAAGCTAGCTCTCGGAGCCATATCCAGCACTCGTTAATCAGTCCATCTACCCTTCCCCTTCCCTCCTCCCCATTTTTCCCATTAATTAAATTTTCTGCTTTCGTACAGTCGACCTCATTAAGCCCGGATCGAGACGTGAGCTCGATCAAAAAATCTTGGTTCTCTATCTTCTAGATCGAGATTTTTTAGGATATTGATCTAGATTCTCGTACGACCCTCCCAGTCCGGGCTCATTATTAACTACCTTGTCAGTTCCATCCACCCAGCGGTTAACCAAATTTAACAAATGTATTTCAGAGAGGGGTATCTAATATTGAGTTTATTTTATAGTGACCGACTATACTTTTATAATAATAATTATTTTTCTCCCACAAATACTTCAAAATAAATATTTAAATAAGCTAATATTTAAAACTAGGAGGTAATAAGAATAAAGCAAAGCAACATAATAATAAAATAAAATTTATAGCGGGTCCACTTTTGCGGTCAAAATAGAGGGAAAAGGAAGAGGTTGAACAAGTTTTTACTCAACACACTCTTGTTTAAAAATTAATTTAAAAAGGAAGAGGAAATAAAATTTTTCTAGTTAAGAGCGCAAAGCATAAAATTTGTGTTAATCAATCCAATTTATTTATTTTTCGCTGATGGCATATAAATAAAAATAAAAATAAACTAAAGTATGTTAAAGCATTTTCTTGTTGCTTAAAAAGCAAAAGCATCTCTCTCTCCCGCTCTTTCGTTCTTTTTTTTCTGCATTTAAATGATGAGAAATGTTTCTTTGAATATTTTCCCCTGTTTAAAAATAACCTTTGGTCGTTATTTTTAAATAAACTTTTCTTAAAAAGGTTGAAAAAATAGAAAAATAAATTTTTTTGAAGAGAAAATTAATTTTTTTAATAATTAAAATTGTTTTTTGAAATATTAAAATTGTTTTCCACCAGTGGGATTCGAACCTTCCCCCTTTTTGGGTGAAAACTCAAATTTTACCGACTACACCAAAAAAGTTTATAAGGGAAAAATCAAGAAATTGACCTCACTTCATTTAAGCCTTTATAACTCGAGAATAACTGAACAGATTTCAAAACTTTTGATATCGTTGAATAGCCAAGAAAATTTGCTATAAAATGATATTTTAATCATAGAAAAATTTTAGGTAAGAGAAAAAGTTATAAGCAAAAAACTTTGATAAAACGAGATTTTCTCTATTTTTTCAAAATTCTTTTTCATTTATCAGGCCAAAAATAATTTTTTTGGGTTATTAAATAAATTAATCAACTTTATAATTAGACAATTTGATCCATCCCTCTTTCCATTTTCAAGATTAGTTATTTTAAATATTAAATGATGCGCGTTTTTTTATTTCCTCAATTTTTTTCTTTTTTTTCAGTTTTGCAATAATGTAAGTATTCTTAATTAGACCATACAAACATATTTTTATTTAAATTACATGCTCGAAAAAAAATATATTTATCTCATCCTTTTGTCTCATTAGAAGAAACACTTTTCCCTTTTAATTATTGCGCTACCGCACATCAAAAAATTTATAAAATCCTTTTTTCTTGAATTTTTTCTTAAAAAATCGTCCATCCAAAAGCTGAAAATTTTTTATTGTTAATTTTTTACAATTTTTTATCTTTTTTTTTAATTTTTTTGAGAATTTTGACCTTTTTAACAATTTTTTAAAAAATCTCGACCTTTTAAGATTTTTATTTGTTGGTCTTTTGACATGAAATCCTTCCCTTCCTTTCCCATCATTTTCCACTTCATACACATTTCCTCTTCCTCCCCTCCTTTTCATCATCCTTCAAATTTATATATATTATTCTCTCCCCCTTTCCCTCCTTGCTTGTGCCAAATCTCACTAATTGCAATGAGTGCTAATAGAGAAGGGAGAAGAAATCCCGCAAAATCCTCCCTTCCTTTGTGGCCAAATGAATTTTGTTTTGTTTTGTTATTTGTAGTAAATATATAACAATAAAATTGTTTTTATATAAAATAAAGTACTTGGCACGCTATTTTATTTATTTAAAAATAAACTAAATCAATAAGTTTTTAAAAACTATTTGTTGAATGTTTTTAACTGTTGATTTTTACCAAAATTTGTTTTACAATTCAATTTTTTTCACAACTTGTTTTTACAATCCTTGTTTTACAGTTTAGTATTTTCTCAGCTTGTTTTACAATTTTTTGTTCCCCAACATTGTTTTTATAATTTTTATTTTTTCTCCTTGTTTTACAACTTGGAATTTTTCCAGCTTGTTTTACAACTTGTTTTACAATTTTAACAATCCTTTTGTGTTGCTTCTTTTACAATCCTTTTTCTCCAACTTGTTGTTCCCCAACTTGTTTTTACAATTTTGTTTTTACTTCTCCAACTTTTTTTTACAATTTTTATTAACCTTTTTTTCAGGAATTTTTGCAACTTTTTAAACAAAACATTTTTCTCTTCTTTTTCTTTTTACAAACATTTGTTCTAGTTTTTTTTTTCACAACATGTTGAAACTTTTGGATTCTTATGCTTCTATAAATTTTTAATTAATAAATAATTTAAAATTTATAAAATTTAAAAAAATTGTTTTTTGGTCATTTTTAATTCTTTTTCATATATTCAAAATTTGTTTAATAGTGTTCGCCACCTTTTACAACCCCGTCTTTCTCACTCTTAATTTTTATCGCCTCAAATTAATACTAACGAGCAGGCAATATTCCATTCTTTTTATGATAATATTTATGCCGACATTTTAGATAAAATAATTTTCATAATATTTTTGAATTTTTTTGATACCACAAATGTATTTAAAATTTGTGTTTTTGCCACCTTGTTGGCTAGACAAATTCAAATGTACAAAATACCAGAAAACTTCCCCAACATTTATTTTACAATTTTGTTTTCCAACTTGTTTTACAATTTTCTTTTTTACAATTCTTACCCCAGCCTCTTTCAAAAACTTTTTTAAGCTTTATTGTTTTACCAACTTGTTTTACAACAAGTTGTGTTTTACAACTTGTTTTACAAAAAGTTTCCAACTTTTTTTTCAACATGTTTTACAATTTTGTTTTTTTTGCAACTTTTACCAGCCTTTTTCAAACCTTTTTCAGAAACATTTTTAAACTTGTTGTTTTTCCAATTTGTTTTTACAAATTCTTCCAACTTGTTTTACAAAACACCTTTTCTCTAACAACATTATCCCAACTTTTTTTTCTTCAAAACATGTTTAAACTTTTTAATTATAATGTTTTATTATTATTCTTTTTGTTTTACCTATTTACAAACGGATTCGCGCAATTTAATATTTTTTCTCACACACATTTTGTTGTTTTTCTATTATTTATTTTTCACTTCATTTTCGCTACAATAAACACTAATCCAAGTCTAATTGAAAAATAAAATTTATATATAAATGAAGTAAAACGCGACTTTTTGGGGGTAAAAAGAGTAAAAAGAAGGGGCTCAGCCGGAAAAATTGACAGTTTTTGTCATCCAAAATGAGAGAAGAAAAATCTTCCTTTAACCTTTATTTTTGTTTATTAGCACTTTAATTTCTTTTTTATTATTTTTATACGGAATCCTCTTTTTAATACCTCTCTCTTTTTAAGCTTTATTTGTGTGCCAATAATACTAGTAAAATTCTATTAGATTTGTTGAAGGAGAAAATTAATTTTCTCTTTCATTAAATCCATAAATAATTCACAAAATTAATCAAAAAAATTTTGAAAAAAGAAAAAATTTTTCCGAAAAAAAATTTTTTTGGAACTTCAATTTGATTTTTAAATAAATTGAAAATTTATTTTTCAAAAAAATATTTAAAGTTTTTTTCAAACTTTGTTTCCTAAGTAGAGCTCGACCCCCGGGCCGGGACCAGCTTTTCCGGGCCCGGTAGCTCGGAAACCGGGTATTCTATGAAAATCCGGTTTTTCGGGTTATAATGTATAACTAAATTTTTTTAAACATCTTCTTTTTTATTGCCACACATAGCGGAAAGGGAGAGTGATTTATTTAGTATATTTATTACAAAATTACTCCCTGACAGTTGTAAAAATATTAAGTTTTTCAAACTTTGTTTCCTTGCCTTTCAATTTTTTTTAAAAATAAGATTCTTTGGACAACCTTAAAATTGTTTAAAAAAAGAATTAATCTATTTTTGAGGCAGCAAAAAGTTTTTTTTAATTCGGGTGGTGCACTAGAATGTTTTTAAGGAAGGGAAAATCAAATCTGGGCGTTTTGTTTTGTTTAAAAAAATTTTTTGGTGCACATAAGAAAAGAGGCACTTGCACGGATTGTGTGTGTGATTAATTTACCAAAAAATATATAAAAAAATTAATGGTCTTTTAACAATTTTTTGGCAAACTTTACACACACTTTTATTAGTCTTATTTAAAAAAACAATTAATTTTCTAGTGTAAAAGTGATTTTAGTATAGAGAAAAGAAGCAATTTTTGATCTTAAAAAATTTTTTTGATCGAATTCTAAATTTTATTATAGTCTACAAAGGTGTATAAAGTTGCAACAATAATAAAATTTTATGTGAAATAAAATTTTTTGCTCTAATTAAATTACATTTTCAGACAGACTATATGAAATCTGTTGTTTTTTTGTCTAAAAATAGGTCTTTTTCCAATTACTAACGAATTTTAAAATTGTTATAAGCCCAATTTTAGTCTTTTTTGTTTTAATTTTTGTATTTATAAGTTTATTTTCGATGAAAAAAATCTTTTCCATCAGTGGGGTTCGAACCTTCGTCGTATCTTCTCTTATACTCTGTCAAAACCCAGTCGTTTCCAACTACACTACAACTCCAAGTTTTGCTTTCATAAATTGTAAAACAGGCGTATTAAAATTGTAAAACTTGTTTTGTTTGTTTTTGTAATTAAAACATGTTTTAGTATTATCAACAAAACATTTTTTAAATGTTTTGTGTTCCTCTATTAAAAAGCAAAGGAAAATAAAAACATGTCTTTATTATGTTTTTAAGGATTAAAATTGTAAAACAAGCGTTTTAGAATTGTAAATTGTTTTTCTAATTAAAACATGTTTTAGTATTATCAACAAAACATTTTTAACAGCAACAAAACATCCAACTAAAAAATTTTTTGTTTTCCTTCATTAAAAACATTTTATGCAACAAAAACATGTTTTTGTCATGTTTTTAAGGATCAAAAATTGTAAAACAGGCGTTTTACAATTGTAAATTGTTTTTCTAATTAAACATGTTTTGTTCACCAAAACATTTATATCAACAACAAAACATCTAAATATTAGGTTTTTAATGATGTTTTTAATAATGTTTTTGTTGTCCTAAAAATAGATAAAATCTAGAAAAACTTTTTTTAAATGTTTTGGAGACTTTTGTTGTTTTGTTGTTAAAAATATTTTAAAAAGTGTGTCAGTTGTTGTTTTTGTTATTGTCAAATTCAATGAATAAAAGTTGGTTATATACAACTAAAAACTGACCATTTGAAAGCCGAGAAGTCAGTCTAGTCTTTATTTTTAGTCAATTCACTTCCCACTGGGAGGAACCAAAATTTTCTTTTCCTTTTTTTCTTCCTTGTCATTAAACTGCACAACAAATGGCCAAGAAAATTTTTTTCTTTTTTTCGTTCTTCAATTTTGACTCATTTCACTAAGATATTTGAAGCTTATAAAGATTGTTATGTTTAAATATTAAAAGTTGGAAGTGGATATTGACCACATTATTTTTTTTAAAAGATCCACCTTTTTAAATGGCCACCATCTTTATTAGAAAAGCTTCTTTTTAAAAAATAAACTTGTTTTCATGTTAAACTTGTTTTTAAGTTTACAAACTTAAGTATCAAGTTACTTTAAAGTTGTTTTTATTTTAAAACATAACAAAAACATGTTTTTATTAATGTTTTTGTTTTTGTTAATGTTTTTTTAATAATAGGACAACATCTAGTCTAAAAAATGTTTTGTTGCGAATAATAAAAACATGCTTAATTAACAACACAAGTTTTACAACTTTAAAAACGCCTGTTTTACAATTTAGAATAAAAAAAACTTGGAATTCTGGTGTAGTTGGAAACGACTAGGTTTTGAATGGACAAAAGAGAATATAAGGGGAAGGTTCGAATCCAACTTGTTGAAAATCGTCCTTTCTACGTATTTTTTTCTCGGAATTTTTTTCTTTTTGTTTACTGACCATTTTTTGCCTTTCAACAATTTTTAAAAAGTTAGTTTTTTAGCCCTCTCCCCTATTTCCTCCTTTTATTTTCTCTCAATCCCGCCTTCTTTCTATGCCTTTTTTATCTCCCTTTGTTGCTTCAAATTCCGGTTTTTTTGGCTATTCATATTTTCATTCAATCCTTTTCCTCTAAATAGGCCCACCACTTTTTTTGGCACTCTCAACACATTTATCAGAAAAAATTTTTTTGTTGCCGCCGCCAACATTTTTTTTAGTTTTTTTATAATAGTTTTTTAGTTTCCTCTTTTCTTTTCCCTCAACCAAATGCCAAAGCAGTAAAAAATATTAAATGAAGATAATACCCGAACGAACTAAAAAAAGGGGGGAAAGGAGGAAATAATAATGTATGGCGGCATTTATTATTATTAATATTTTATTTTTTTATATTGATCTATAAGAGTGACCATTTGAGGAAAACGAGAAGGAAGGGAGGGAGTGTTATTGGGTGGTTTTGACGTTTTTTTTTGTTTTTTTTCTTTGCCTATTTTTGTTTTTTTATTTTTGAAATATTTTTTTGTTTATTTACAGTCATTGACATAACGATAGGGGCAAGATAACTGAAATGAAAATTAACCATTTTCTCAGTTAAAAATTAATTTTAGGGGAATTTTTTATTTTTTTATTTTATTTATTTTATTAACGTTTCAAATTTTAAACCTTGCCCCACTCATTTGCTATTTTTTGTTTGATCCCTTTTGACCCCTTAATTGACCCTACTCGAGACCTCCATGAATATGTCGCCTTTTCCACCTTTCTTGTTATGCCAGCTAAATTCTTGAGAGATGCCACTTTATTATTTTTATACAGGGATTTGGCTATATACCCTTAAACCAGACTTTGGTAATCTTCCGCTTTACTGGTCCCTAGAAAAAAATGGTGAAAAAATGCTAGTTTGACATTTTTGAGGCATGCAAGTAGGTAATCGAGTTTGCTGAGTCCAAATATGAGCCTAGAATTTGTTTATTTCGAACCCAGAACCCGAATTCGACCATGTCAAAACATGGGGTATAAATTCTAAATTTTGTTTAATCTGACTTGTCTCTTCGAGCTGAGTCGATTGGTATCAAAATTATTACATTCCGACATTTTTAGACTAAGTTATGGTGTCTGATTTATATACTAAGTCTAATCAAGCGTATATTTAACTGATCATAAGTCAGTCTAAAGTTGTCGAAACAAAATAATTTTGATATCATTTGACTCAGCTTGAAGAGGTGCGTCAGAATAGCGATAGCCTAATAGTTTCGAATTTTTACCCCGAATTCGACTTGGTCGAATTCGGGTCCTTATAATAAAAAAATTCTAAGCCTATATTCGGACTCAGCACACTTGATTACCTAATGACAGACCTCAAAAATACCGAAAAAGTACTTCTACCACTTTTTTTCTAGGAACCAGTAAAGCGGAAGATTACCCAGACTTTGTAATGTACATGGATTTTGGCATCCGAATATTTACAGCGGATACAGGTGGATATCCTCAGGCATTTTGAATTTATCTGTATCCGTATCCTTTACCTAGTCTGCCTTAAAGTTTAATTCCAATCGCTTAGAAAATTTTTTAGGAAAATTAAAACTTCTTTACCGCCTCTTCTCGAAAAAAATTTAAAACAGAGGTGGCAATTTAAAGTTAATTAATTATATACTTTTTATGTGTTTTGTCAACAATTGTCACACACACACACATTTTTATTTTCACTTATTTATTTGACCATTTAATAGAAACGAGACCCTTTGATCTACCCTCTATTTCTTTTGTTTTAAACTTTCCGAATTGTCACCATTTTCAATAAATTATTTGAAAGTGTGAGGGAGGATTAAGCCTAGTAAAAGGTCATTAACTACAATTAAAAATACCATTTGAGTTCTGCCATTCTTTGAAAGCCAAAAAAAATTTTGTCTCCCTTTTGGAAAAAATTTTTTTCCGAAATTTTGCAAGAAAAATTTTTTCAATTCAATTTTTAATCAACTAAATATTACTGACAACGTTCTGTTTAGGGTTGCCATTTTCGATTCGAGCCAACGGTTCATTTTTTCGGTGCATTTTTTTCGAGCTTGATTCTTTTTCGATTCGGTTCGTTTTCGAGCTATTCGAACTGAAAACCCTCGGCTTGCTCGATCTTTCGAGTTCGGTTCGAGCGAGCGGGCACCCTAGTTCTGTTCTTTTAAAATTTTTTGGATTTTTGTAAGATGAATAAACTAACTTGACAAGCTATTTTTTCTTGTTAAACTATATTAGAAGAAAAATTCTATCCCATTTTTTATTATTAATTTATTTTTTTTCTTTTTCTCATTATTTTATTTATTACAATTTAAAGCATCACTACTCTATTTATTCATTATCCCCTCCTATCACCCCCTTCCCCCATTACTTTTTCATTTATACAAACACCATTTGGTGGTTTGGTCATTGCCACTTTATTTTTTTAATGTTTGTGAATAGTCAATAGGCCAAATAACTTTTTTTCCTTCCTTTTTTTGCCAAATCTTAAGCTTAAATCCTTCCGTTTTTAACCTTTTTAAGAAGAACTTTTTAAGAACAGTTGACCTCCTCTCTCTTTAAAAAACTTTTCCCTCTCTTGTAAAATTGTAAGAATTGAAGGGGGTTTGGACAAAAAAAGTTTTTTCTAATTTTTTTTTGTTTTTCTTGCCCAACTTTCTTCCTATTTTGCCAAATAATAAAAATTAATAGTCGTGTCGGGATAAAACACCGTCCAGACCAAAATACCGTCCAGACGGACTAAAAAATACATACTGTCTGGATTCTCTTTGAGTAAACAAATTTTAAAATAAAATTAAATTTGTAGGCCTAAGAGTTGAAGTACTAACCAAACCTCAAAATAGCCTTAGGGTTTAAAAAATAAGATTAACCTAAATCTAATCGTTGGACGGTATTTTTGTCGGACGGTGTTTTGCCCTTTCCCCAAGAAATATTAATAAGAAGCTCCCCTCTATAAAAAATCTGTCAGTTTTTGCCTTAATAAATATATAAATTATTGTATTTTTATTTTTTTCCAATCGAATATAGGAAAATAAAATTGAAGCTATAAATAAAAAATAAAAAAAGTGAGAAAATGCCCCCAAAAATGGAAATATTTATTATTTTCCTTTACTTTTCGTTTTATTTTTTCTATTTTTTCATTACTTTTTTGATCAATATATTTATAAAATATAATTTTTTTAAAATTTTTAGTGGTTTTTAAGCCATTAAGTCCCTAAAATCCGTTTTTTCAAAATTTTTTCGAGTTTCGACCAAATGTCAAATTTTTCACTTTTGGACGTTTTGAAAAATTAAAAATTGTGGCAAATTGTCTAAAAATTAACTTCTGACCATTTTGTCCAAATATTCGATTTGATTAAATGATATATTTTTTTTGTTTTTGTTGTTTTGTTAAATTTTTTGGCGTCCTTTTTTTGAATTGTTAAAAAATTTTTTTCAAAATTTTTCCAAAAATTTTCCAAATTTGCTTCCAAAATCTGGCCTTTCTCTTATAAATAAAATTGGCGTGCAATGTTTATTTTTATGAATATTTTCGCGCTCTTCATCATCCACCACAACATTTCAATTGCTTTGCCCTTTCAACAAATGGTGTGTTTTTTCCCTTTTCTTTTTGTGGTCATTTCCTCTCTCTTTTACTTTTTAGGGGGAGCTAAACAATTTTTGGGAGGAAAACAACAAAAATAAAAGTAACGGAAAAAAGAAAAAGTGGGGGGGGGGGGGCAACAACACACGAATTTTGTTTTGCCATTTCCTTTTTTGTATTGTTTTGTTGGGTTTTGTTGTTGTTGTAAACCGCGCACACCCTTTTGTTATTTTAAAACTTCCAAAAATCTATATAGGTATATTCCGAGATAAAAACAAAAAGTTTTAGAGAGGCCTTGATGTGTGAAGAAAATATAAGGAAGTGTGGGGGATTGATTTTTAGGATCTGGAGTCAAAATCGAAGCATTTATTAGTATGTTCCCTGATTTTTCTTTGACTCGAAGTCAAGGAACTGGTTAAAATCATGGATTTTTTAAAATTTCCAAGCTCTAGAGAGTTTCGCGGAGCTCTTTGCCTATCATTTGTTTAATCCATAAAATGACCCTTCATTTTTGTCGCGTTTCATTATTTTTTTGATTTCGTTATTTTAAATTTTTAAAAAAATTTTTTTAACAGATGCCTTTAATATTAAATTTATTAAACTTATTTTCTTCAAAAATTCACTTGGTTTTATTCACTTTATGGTTATATTCACTCAATGTAGAGACACGCAAAATTCATTTCAAGGAATTATCAAAAAATTATTCTGCCATTATTGGTTAGTTTTTGTTTTTTTAAATGGGGGCTTAAAGCGGTGTTTGGAATTTTTTGTGCATACCTCAGAAGGGTTTTGGTACGAACTTTTTAGCAAAGCTTGTTCATAGACATTCTCAATTTACTGCTATTTGTCTGGATTTACCTCCCTTAAGATTTCTCGAATCCCGTTAGCTTCAACTTGTTAATAAAACCATCGACCAACCCCGCGACTGTTATGGCTTCGGAGGGAAAGCTGTCACTGTTTTCTCTTAAAAGAAACAAAAGACAGAATTTCTTAAAAGAAAGGGGAAACAGCTTGACACATTTTCTAAAAAATTCAATTTAAAGGCTCTGATATTTTACTTGAATGTTCAATTGCTCAAACTGATTCTCCATTTCAAATTCAATGGTATACAAAAGACAGGATTATGGACAAAGAAAAAGATGATGATATTGTTCCTGGGTTTTCTGGACGTTACAAGTTTGTTTTTATTTTGTTAAATTTGGAAGTTTACTTGCGATAAAATGTGTGGAATTTTCTGTTGTGATGTCTGTTTTAACCAAATTCTTCGGTTAACCGACCCAGAAACCGAACCTAAAATCATTGGTTTGTTGGTTCGGGTTGAAACCGGCACCCCTAGTTGTGAGATTTTATTGGTGAATATTGATGGATTTACATGTTGAGGAAGGTTCGAATCCTTTTGGCTATGCTTGGTTTTTTTCTTGTTACTGAGGGTCAATCCCCATCAATTAGAGCTCCTAAAAAATTTTCTGAAATTTCTGCAAAATTTTTCCTCCTTCCCTCATTTATTTTTTAATTAAAAAATTTTTTATTTATAGGTTATTGAAAGAATCAAATGATGAATTAAACTTGGCTATCTCAAATTTGACTCTTGATGATGATGGAAAATTTCAATGTCAAGTTATTGGACCAAATGGAGTATTTTTGCGTTCTCATGATTTTGTTGAAGTTTTGGGTATTTTTTAAATTTCATTTTTTGTCAAAATTTTGAAAATTTATCTCTTTGCACTTTTCTCTCCATTTCACTCTTTTCTTAGCTCCTCAATAATTTCTCTCCTTTCTATTTTATTTTGATTCTTCTCCATTATTTTATTTTTTGTTGCTTTTAACTGGGTTTTTTAAATTTTTTATAAATTCTCGCTTGTCTATATTTAATTTGACAAAAATTTTCTTGAGGAATTTATATCCGTTTCAATCAGGGATAATCGAAATTTAGTTTATATCGTTTTGATTCGCCCCGAAACGAAGTGGAAATTTTTTTTATTTTCTCGATCCTCTCTGTTTTGAATTGCTATGTTTTGGTTTTCTAGGTTTATTGGGGTAGTTTGGTTTTTTATCTAAACGACCTTTTGTCTTAATTTCTTAAGCTTGTTTTCTTTTTCGAAAAATTTTCTTTTTATTTTTCTAGTCCCACCTCGAACTGTTCGTTTCGAAAATTTTCAATCTGGACAAACTCTAATAGTCAATGAAGGTTCTCAAATTAATTTAACTTGTATTTCTGAACAATCAAAACCTCAGGTTTTTTTATTTTTTTAAATTATTTTCAAAAATATTTTAGGCTGATTTAAATATTTTTTTGAATGGAAAGAAGGCAACAGAAAATATTTTTAGAAATTTTATTTTATTAAAAAATGGAACAATTAATACATTTGCAAGTCTTGTTTTGAGGCCAGGGTATTTTTTAAATTATTTTTTTTTATTTTTTAAAAATTTTAGTAAAATTCATCATAATATTGTCATTTCCTGTGAAGCAACTCATTCTGAAACGTCTACGAAAATGAGGGATTTTATTACTTTGGATGTTTATTGTAAGGAAAAATTTTTTATTTTTAAAAATTATTTTGGGTTCATTTTTAATTTGACTCTTTTTCTAACAAATTTTTTTCAAACTTGTCCAGACATTTTTTGGGGACTCTGATTTTTTCTTTAGCTTTTCAGACATGTTTTCAGTTTTTTTGGGAAAAATTTGTCGACATTTAGGATTATATTTAACTTTTCTCTTGTTGTTTCAAATTGTGGCAGTCTGTAAAATATTCTTACGCTTTTTTGTAAATAGTTTTACTTGTTTTTATTAAAACATTAAAACAAAGGGAAAACTTAATTTAAAAAATTGGACATGATCTCTTGAAAGTAGTGTTATTCAAACGCGTTTTTCGGTATCGGTATTTTCGGTAAAATACCGATACCGAAAAAATACCGATTTTTTAAAAATTGTTCGGTACCGTATTCGGTATCGGTATTTCGGTAAAAATACCGCGGTATTACCGAAAAATACCGCGGTAATACGGTACCGTGAATAACACTACTTGAAAGAATAACTTGACTGGAAAATTAAAGGGAAAAATCAGGATACCCAATAATTTTTGGACAAGGAAAGATGTTTGGGCACGAGTTTTTGTTAAAATATAGTTTTCCTCTTTCCCACAAAAATGTAACGTTAAAAAATTTTTTTATTAAAAAAGATTCTTCTGATCGCCCAAAAATTGATTTAATTGGAGGAACAAATGGTGGTGATACTCCTCTTTTAGCTGGCCAAAATATAACTTTATTGTGTATTGCTGAAGGGGGTAATCCTCCACCACAATTGCTTTGGTCTAATAATCAAAAAGGACAATTAAATTCAACTTTTGTTTATGATGAGTCTAGTCAGGTTAATTCTTATTGTTTTTTGAATAAATTTTTTGACACTTCTAGAATTTATAAAACGAATTTTTCGAACTTTGACTAAAAATTTTTAAAATAATCGTATTTCTGTTTGACCTTTTGCCATTTTTGGGAATTTTTTATATGGGTGTTAAAGCCAAAAATTGTAATTAGGTTATCGACCACCATATCAGGGATTAGCCGACATAAAAATTAAATTTCGATTTTTGGGAATCGGGTCGGCAAGATCCCTGCTTCATATAAATTTAAAAATTTTTGCACAGTTTGAAAGGTTCCCGTGTGAAAGTGAAACCTACCTCTATTTAAAAAGAGAAAATTTTTGTAAAATTGAATGAAATTTTTCTAAAAAATTTATATTTTTTTTAATAGATAACTCAAAACGAGCTTTCTTTTATTCTTTCTGGTGCTGATAATGACGTAACTTTTGAATGTACTAGTCAATCACATTCCAACATGACACCTTTAATTAATCGAATTACGCTACATGTTGATTGTAAGTATTTTTTAAATAATTTTTTTGAGCTTTAAAAATTTTTTTTTAATTTTTTAGACCCTCCCGCAAATGTTTTTCTTTATGGAAGTACTGTTGTTCGAAAAGGGGAAGCTTTAACAATGTCTTGTACTTCAAGGTTATTTTTTAAAAAAATTTTGAATATATTATTTTTTTTGTTTTACAGTGTCTCCTCTCCAGCAGCAACAATTACTTGGCAAATAAATGGGTCACCTACTCAAAAACAAATACAACATAAAACTAAACAATTACAGGTTTTTGTTTGATTTTTTAGATTTTTGGTAGGAAAGAATTGAAATTTTGGTCATTCTGAAAAATTTTGATTTAGAATTTCAGAATTTTTATTATACAAAATAAAAAGTAATCAAATTTCCCTCCCTATATGGGTATCGAACCTCCGCCCGTTCGAACCTGTTCGAACAAAGCATTACCCCCACTACACCAGAAATGATGTTTCTCTTGGAATTGTTATATATTATTTTGCTGGGTTTTTAATCTGTTGTGTAAAATAAAATTATGAAAAATTACGTGAAACCCATTTATTTGAAAATGTGTTTTAAAAACCTTGTAATTGTTTGGCGAGAAAATATTTTTAATTTAATATTTTTTTAGGGTTTTGTAACTCAATCAAATATTACAATTGATTCAACGATGCTTTTACATGGACAAAATGAAATTTTGGTGGCTTGTATTGCTAGTAATGGTGTTGAACTTCCAGTGCAAAAATCTCATATAATTCGAGTTTTATGTTAGTTTCTTTTAATTAAAAATCTTTTTTATTGATGACATTTTGGCCCATCTATTGTTTAATAATATTTTTTCTAATTTTTCGTTGAATAATTTTATTTTTCCTCTTTTTAGCGCCACCTTCACATCCTGTCATTACTGAAAGCGAAACAAATACTGTGCCTTTAGAGGGTGTTTTATACAATTTAACATGTGAATCTCAGGGAGGTCATCCATTTGCTACAATTTCTTGGTTTCGTGGAGTTGAGAAGGTTTTTAAAATTTTTTATAATTTTAAAAAATTACGAGGGCCTTGAGAATTTGAGAAAATTAAATTTTGAGATTACATGGTGATCCTACATGAGTAGAGATTGTATTGGGAAGTCCTTATAAAAGAGATTCCGAGTCTGTCATATTAGATTTGAGGCGCGTGAGTGGAAAGTTCGATTCCTTAAACAATTTTTCTAGCTATCGTCTGAATGATTAGGAAATGTTTTTAAGTTAATAGATGCTCAAAAAATTTTTTGGGGTTTAATTTCTGTTGAGATTTAAAAAGACTATATTTTTAAAACATTAAAGAATTCTGGCAAACATTTTTCTTCTGAATTACTTACCCATAATAGTTTGCAGCATTCTCATCATAAGAAAAAAATCAGATGGAAACAGGTTGAGAATATCTAACAATAAGTATAGTGTAGTACATACTTGTTTTTGGTGTTTGGTTATTTTTATGAATTTTTCTTTAATTTTTATTTTGTTACAGCCCTTTTTTCCTTTCTGTTAGTCTGTGAAGTCTATGAACCTAAATATTTTTTCAAAAAATTTTTTTTTAATTTAAAATTAATTTTTTATTTTTTCATAGTTAAAAGAAACTGAAAATACGTTAAATGGCGATAGCTCAATTAGTACCTTAACACTTTTACTTGATAGAGCAATGAATGGTCAACAAATTCGTTGTGAAGCTGAAAATGGTGCTACTGATTTGCCTCTTATTGCTAAAAAGAATTTGGTTGTTTTGTGTCAGTTTTTTTTTAATTTTAAATATTTTTATGGCTTATACGTTTCTTAACCCACGAAATATTTTTTCAAAATTAAAAAAATTATTTTTTGTAGTTCCACCAATTCAAGTTCGAGTTAAGCCTGCCAGAAATGTTCATATGGTAATCATTTTTTAATTTTGTTGAAATTTCAAAAATTTTCTTCTAAAAACAGATTGCCAATTCACCAACAGAATTATCTTGTTCAATTCCCTCCTCAAATCCTATGGCTGAATTAAGTTGGGAATTTCCAAATACTGTTGATAAACAATTGACAATATCGAGGAATGGTGAACAAATTAGAAAATCGAGCAAACCGTTGGATTTAAAGAATTTTCTTTTTATTTTCTTAATTTCAGTGTTGGAGAATATCACGGCTATGAAGCAGAAAATATTATCCAATTTACCCCAACTGAAGCAATGGATGGGGCTGAAGTTCGTTGTATTGCTTCACATCATTTATGGAGTGAGAAGAAATATGGAACTTTTGCTTTGGATATTAAATGTTTGTTTATTTTGTAATTAAAGCAACTTTTGATATCAGTGCGATTTGATATATTTTTTGGTACATTCGATGGAGAGCCCCATACTTACTTATTGCGAAGTGTTCTGTTTTCTTGCAAAATGAGTTTGGTGAAGTTAAAGACGTTAAATTTTTCGGTCTTTTGGGGAAACTAGAAAGAAAAGAGAGGCTTTGAAGAAAAGAAGCGAGGCTTTGAACGCCTCTAACTTCTTCAAAACTCCTTTTGCAAGAAAATTGAATATGCTTTGCAATATATGAAATGGTCTGAAAATATATCAAATTTGCAGTCCAAGTTAACGAATAAATTGCAAAATTTTTTTATTAAAAAATTCTTTTTAATAGATCCTCCTCGTATTCCAATAGAAGGTCAAATGTCAATACTTGTTAGAGAAGGACAATCATTTGAAGAAAATGTAACAATTTATGCAAATCCTCGAGTTAATGCTTATGCTTGGCGCAAGGATGGATTTACTATAGACCGTTCTATTGGGACTATATTTGTTAGACAATCAGTTATTGGAGGTTTTTCTTATTTTTTAATATTATAAGGATATTCTGTTTAGTAATAGGGATTCATGGGTCTACTGAAAATTTTGGTGTTTTTCCAGTGGGATTTTTTGCTCACTTTCTATTTTTCTCGTTTTTTGCTGAAAGATATTTATTAAATTGAATTCCAAAGCAAATTAATTGAATTCCAAAGCACAATGAGGAAAATAGAAGAATAGCCGCAAAGTCCTCAAAATATAGTTTACAAAAAAATTCCACAAGAATTTTGAAAAAAATCGAAAAAAAAACAAAAACCGCAAAATTTCCCATCCTCTCCATTTTTCAGTAGTAATGAGAGGAAAAGCGTTTTTGATTTTTATTTTTTAAATTATTCTTTCATAGGTATTGGTGTTACTAAAGAAGATACTGGAATTTATACTTTATTGGTTTCAAATGGTGTAGGGACGGCAAATGCTACAATTTCTGTTTGTTTTGAAAAAGTTTTAATTAAAATTTTTTTCTTTTAGTTAGTTGTTGAATATTCAGCAAGAATTGTTCGAATAAATAATCCTGTTATTGCTAGGTTTTTTAAAAAAAAATTTTTGAAATTAATTTTCCCTTTTCAGTATTGGTGAAGATATTGTTTTGGAATGTGAGGTAGATGGAAACCCATTAAAACTTGGAATGATTAGATGGTTTAGAGGACAAGAAGAAGTCAAACCTTTTCTTTTGGAACAACACCGCTCTGTTTTGAGAATAATTGCGACGCATGAAAATAGTGGGGCTTATACATGTCTTGTAGATAATGGAATTGGAAAGGTTTTTCTTCTTTAATGATTTTTTGGTGAAATAATGGGATTGGTTTAAGACATCCTTTTTTTCATATTTTGCTTTTTTGGGGAATTTTGTAATTTTAAGTTTCTTTTTGTTAGGATTTTGTTCCTAATGAAATTTTTCGAGATTCGGGACCGAGCCAAAAAGTGCTTGTCTTCTTGTTTAAAAGAATTTTAATTTTTACTCTTTCTTACAGCCAAACTCTTCTATTGCTTACCTTTTGGTTCGTCGCGCACCCGAAATTGTTAAAAGGCCTGGATTTAATCGTGCCGCTGGTCCGCTTGGTGGAAAAGCAACACTTCGGTAAGAAATTATTTTATTTACATATTAAAGAAATTGTTTTTCTAGTTGTCGTGCTAGTGCTGTTCCAAATGCAGAATTTAACTGGGGTATTGAAGATGAAGGACATATGATTCATCATAATACAACAAAATATCGCTTTTTTGATACTCAATTGGATCACACAACTTTCCAGGTTTTCTCTTCCTTTTTCAATTTGAATTGAAACAAAATCTGTTTAAACTTTAGAGTACTCTGACAATTTTAAATTTGGATGAAAGGGATTACAATCGTCGCTATAGATGCCGAGCTTTCGTAAGTTTTTTTTATTTTTATGATTTTTCCTGTTACACTGCCTTTATTATCTATATTTTAATATCGAACCTCTACCGAAACCTGACTAGATATAACTCGGACCAAAGTCATTTTGCAAGAGCGCTTATCGCTCCGCAATAGGAAGTCGTTGATTCTCTATCGAATAATATCAAAAAATATATCAAAATCACAGTAAATAATCTTCCCTTTTAGTTTAAGGTTTATCTTTTAAAAGTTGATTAGTTACTGGATGGGGACAGCTTTCTAAATGATACTTTCTATTTAAGATACTTTTCTTGTAAGATATTACTTTACTTCCCAAAGGTGTATTTTATTCTGAACCTCGACTGTATTTTTATTATTTTTGTTTAATTTTTTACAGAACCGCCTCGGACATGCTCACTCATTTATTTCTGTTGGTCCTCCAAGCGCACCTGAACAACCTTCTGAAATTGAAATTATTAATATAACAAATACATCTGCTTCAATTTCATGGATCCCAGGATTTGATGGAGGCTCTGACCAATTATTTGAATTAATATATCAAGATATGGATGAAAATCAATTATTTACATTAAATACAAGCCTTTCAGTAAAATTTTAAATTTCTAGATAATTTAAAAATTAAAATTTTTAGAATATCATATTAAACGACTTGAAAACAAAACATGGTTATTCTCTTCAAATTAGAGCAATAAATGCGAGAGGTGATATTTCTGACTTGACCCAACCTTTGATGTTCCACACATTGGAAGAAATGCCTCAAAATGGTGGAATTGGTGATAATATGCTTTTAAAGGTTTTCTTTTTTTAATTTTCTATTGGGGGTTTTACTGTTCACGCCTCACTATAAGATACACCCAGTTAAACCAATATTTAAGAAACGTTTTAAAAATTTTATTGGGACACTGGATCACTGTCTAAATCTTACCCCAACTCAAATTAATATACACTTCATAAATATGTTTATATTTTTTTATTTTTCAGAAACGACCAATAAGTCATTCAACAATAATTGCTTTAATTTTTGGCCTTTTGGGACTTTTATTGCTCAATATTATTTTAATTTGTTATTTAAATCGAAGAAATAAGCGGCGTAAAATATTAGGTTTATTTAATATTTTTTTTTAAATTTAAAACAAAAAATTTTTTGTTAGCAAGAAATTCACAACAACAACAAAATGGTTCTTCCTCAACAGGAAGTGGAGGTAGTGGAAGAACAATTCAAATTTATGGAACAATGAATGCCTTACAAAATAATTTTCAACATCATCAACCTCAAATAATCCAACCACAACAGAATGTAAGGAATGGATCTATTTGCAACCATTCAGATGTTCAAATTGTACAGCAAGATCAATCTTTTATTGAAGATACACAATCTGCTCAAACGGTGATTGTAAGAAAGATTTTTTAATTTTTAATAGACTCTAAACCTTAGTTTTATGCCCCTTACTTGATTATTTCTCTCATACTCAATTATTCCGGTTATTGTAAGAAAGAAATTTTTTGCCATGGATTTTTTTATTTTTATCAGGGATGGGTTGGATTACTCTAAAGCATTCGATTTTTTAAAATTTGGTGTTGGACATAGTGAGAGGATGTCCAATTAATTTGGAGGCCGAAGAGACTTGAGTTGTATGTATATACTACCATGAATTTCTATCAGGGATGGGTTGAGTTTCTTTAAGGACTCAACCTGAAACCCAACCAGAAGAAAATTTTGAGGAACCGATCCGAACCCCGACCCGACTTTTTCTCAATCTGGGCCCATCCCATCTTTGCACCTCTCATTTTAATTAGTGTTCGGCACGGTACGGTATACCGCGGTATTTTTCCCGGTATACCGCGGTATTTTTTTCCGGTATACCGATACCGTACCGGTCAAATTTTGAAAAAACGGTATTTTTCGGTATCGGTATTTTTTCGGTATACCGATACCGAAACCGTACCGGTCCTCAAAAAAATACCGCGGTATTTTCCGGTATTTCGGTATTTGTGAAATTCTCAAAATTTTCGCCTGCGGCGCTGAAAAAGCAAGAAATCTGTCTTCTGATTTTCCAAAATTCTCAAAATTTTCGCCTGCGGCGCTGAAAAGAATATATAGGGGCCTTCTATAGGAGCATTCTATCAGAGGGGGCATTGTATTTTTCAATTATCCTTCTGGGGCATTCTATTAAAGGAGGGTATTCTAATGGTGGGGGCATTGTATTTCTCAATTAGCTAAATATCGAGCAATTGTTTAACATTTTGCTCATTCAAATCTTGCCTATGATCGATTAGAAGAAGCTCAAGTCCTTGAGATTGTTAAAATTTATTGTTAAGATTTTAAAAATAAAATTTAAAAAATTTTATAAAATTTTTTAAAAAATACCGAATACCGGCCGGTATACCGAAAATGTTGAGACGGTATTTTCCGGTATCGGTATTTTTCCGGTATACAGATACCGATACCGTACCGGTCAATTTTTGTAAAAATCGGTATTTTTCGGTATCGGTATTTTTTCGGTATACCGATACCGAATACCGGAAAAGGTCATTTGCCGAACACTAATTTTAATATACACCTTCCTATAATTTTTTAAAATTTTTATAGGAAGTACCTTCTACTTATTATTCAAATGGAGGAAATGCTCTCATACATCATGACCTTCAACAACAACATTTATACAATCAAAATAATTGTGTTATTTCTGAGGATCCTTTAGGTTTAAAATTAAAATTGTTTTTCAATTAAAAAAATTTTTTTAGCCGACCATTATGCCAGATTTCAAAGGCAGGACATTCAAAATGTTAATTTCAACAATCAAAATGGTATGGTCAACTTTTCATCAATGGGCCCTGTTTTTGATAAAAATTTGAGTTATCAAGCATTGCCTAATCCGGTAAAAAAGAAATAATTTTTCATCAAATAAAAAATTATTTTTTAATTAGGACCCTTATCCTTACAATAATGGTACTATTGATGGACGTCATTATTCTGGTTATGTTCCTTCAGGTAGAAATATTTTTTGGTAAATTACAATTCTGAGGTGGTTTTCCGGAATTATAATTTTTAAAATTTAATTCTGTTTTATTTTAAATCAGAATTATTTTCTGGAATTGTTTTTCGGATTGTAATTATTTAACTGTAATTTTTGTATAACAATTTTACAACTAAGAAGCTTCAGAAATTCTGATTTTTAAGTTGTAATTTTGCTTTTCAGAATTGTAATTCCGGTATGTAATTTTAAAAATTCTGATTTTTAGAAATCAGAAAAAAGCCTTCAGAATTGCAATTTAAAAACAGAATTATTTTTCAGAATTGTAATTCTGCTTTTCCAGAATTGTAATTCTGGTTATAATAATTTTAATTTAAAAATCAGAATTATTTTTAATAATTGTAATTCTGCTTTTCCAGAATTGTAATTCTGGTTATAATAATTTTAATTTAAAAATCAGAATTATTTTCCGGAATCGTAATTCTTAATTACAATTACAATTTCTTTTCTCTTAAAACAAAACAGGCGTTAGTTATGCTGCAAATACAACAACAACAGATTCATTTAATAATAACATTAACGGAACATGTAATAGCACTAACAATAGTTTACAAAGGAGGGCAACAACATTAATGAGGACATTTCAAGATTACAATAATGGAGGGGTTGTAAATTATGATACTTCTTCAACTGTTAAAGGAAGTAAAGGAGCTGGGTCAAGATCAATAATATCTGGAAGGGATTCGATTCGTGGTGGGGGAAGTGTAGGGGGAGGAGAATTTCTTTAAAACAGAGGGAAATTTTGATTTATATTTTTTGAATTTTTGCAAAGTTTTTTCAAAATTTTATTTTTCTTTTTGTTGTTGATATGCTTCTAAGAAATTTCTATTATTGTTATACTAGTATTGTCCACAGTAGGGATTGGACCGAAATTTTGAACAAAAATCTTGATTCTTGTACAATGATTTTTTTGAGATTTACTATCACCGTCCGATCTCTAGTCCAACTCATCTCTCCCAGAAAATTGTTCAAAATTTAAATTTATTTTTTCATTTCTTTGTTTTGGCTGCTAAAATTAGTATATTATATATTTTTTCCGATCTCAAGATATTAAAAAAAGAATTATATTACAAAAATATTGCCTTTCAATTTTATTTTTTTCTGATTGATTATCTATATATAATAGTAAAAAGGCAGTCAGCTAAAAAAAAGTCCCCAGAGCTTTTGAGTGGGTGTAAAGGGGTGGGGTTTTTTGCTATAGATGCGCAATACAATGTAGTTTTCAGGAAAACCTCCAAAAGTTGGGGTCCAATGGAGAAAAAATTAGATATTTTGAAAAAACATGTTTTTTCGAAACTTTGAGGTCGGAAATGAGTATGAAGACGATGTCGGGGAAAGTTGGGTCAGTTACAAGGTTGAAGCACCACAACATGGAGAATATGATAGAAAAAGAGTTGAAGTCGTTCGGACAACGGGGAGGGTAGATGTGCCTGTTGACAACTTTTTTGTCAAAGTGGTACCTAAGGATTTAAGGTGTTTAGAGGGGTCTGAGCAAACAGTGGTTGGGAGAAAAGTTGTAGAGCGTGGTCGGTTTCTTAAGAAAAAAGTTTGTTTCAATTTGATTGGATTAACAGAAAAAAAGATATGGAGTAAAAAGTGAAATTTTAAGAAAGTTGCATAAAAGTGACCTTAACTTTATTTAGTTTTGGAGTTAGAAGAAAAGTGTTGGGAGATGTAAGATAGAGCATTAAATTCTGCATCGAATAAGCTTTGTTTTACGTTAATATGATTTTTTTGAGCCAAGTTATGAATTTTTTAAAAAATTAAAATTTTGGGAAAAAATTTTTAAATTTGACGATCTAGACCGTCCGATCTGGAAAGTTAAGCAACGGTGAAGCGTTTTTTGTAACTTTTGAAGTAGTTATCGGAAAAATATGATTGAGGTGTCACTCGACGTGGAAAAATCAGGCGAATTTTTAAGATAATTTTTGAAAGGGTCACTTGAGTCTGAGGGTGGGATATTTGAGTCTGAAGGTTTAAATCAGTGGAAATTAAATTTAAAAATTATAAAAATTAAAGGGAATATTAGAAAATGAGTTTTTAAAAAAAAAGTGCACTTGAGTCTCATTTTTTAATATGAGTCTGGGACTGAAATTTTTATAAAAATGTTAAACTCTAATATTTTTTAAAAAATAACTTTAATTCGGAACGCGTTGCAGAAAACGCGTTGCCGGAGGCAACCGCCAGAATTAAAAATTATTTTAAAAATTCGGAACGCGTTGCAGAAAACGCGTTGCCGGAGGCAACCGCCAGACTTAAAAATTATATTTTAAAAAATCGGAACGCGTTGCAGATAACGCGTTGCCGGAGGCAACCGCCAGAATTAAAAATTATTTTTGAGAAGATACGGAACGCGTCGCTGAAATGCGTTGCCGGAGGCAACCGCCAGACTTTAAAATTATTTTTTTAAGAAATCGGAACTCGTTGCAGAAAACGCGTTGCTGGAGGCAACCGCCAGAATTAAAAATTATTTCTGAGAAGATACGGAACGCGTCGCTGAAATGCGTTGCCGGAGGCAACCGCCAGACTTTAAAATTATTTTTTTAAGAAATCGGAACTCGTTGCAGAAAACGCGTTGCTGGAGGCAACCGCCAGAATTAAAAATTATTTTTTGAGAAAATTGTAACGCGTTGCAGATAACGCGTTGCCGGAGGCAACCGCCAGACTTAAAAATTATATTTTAAAAAATCGGAACGCGTTGCAGATAACGCGTTGCCGGAGGCAACCGCCAGAATTAAAAATTATTTTTGAGAAGATACGGAACGCGTCGCTGAAATGCGTTGCCGGAGGCAACCGCCGGAAATAAAAATATTTTTTTAAAAATTCGGAACGCGTTGCAGATAACGCGTTGCCGGAAGCAACCGCCGGAAATTAAAATTGTTTTTTAATTCGGAACGTGTTGCAGATAATGCGTTGCCGGAGGCAACCGTCAGAAATTAAAAATTTTTTCTAATTTCGAACGCATTACAGAAAACATGCGGGCCGAAGGCCCGCATGTTTATTTATGACTAAAATTCAAAAGTTTATAACTTTTGAAGTATTAGATGTAGAAAGATGGTTGAGGTGTTATTCGACGGGGAATTGAATGAGGAGTTTAATGAAGATATTTTTAAAAGTGTCACTTGAGTCTGAGGGTTGGACATTTGAGTCTGAAGTTTTCACATAGTGGGAAATTGATCCAAATTAATTTAAATCAGTTGTAATAACGCTGGAGTCAGCCTTAATACCCAAAAGCTATTAAAACTACTCAGCTATTCGCGCCGAACGCTGGTTATCTATATATAATAGTAAAAAGGCAGTCAGCTAAAAAAAAGTCCTTCAGACTTTTGAGAAGTCGTAGAGGGGTGGGGTTTTTTGCTATAGATGCGCAATACTATGTAGTTTTCAGGAAAACCTCCAAAAGTTGGGGGAAAGGGGCGAGTTTTTTAGATATTTCGAAAAAACGTGTTTTTTCGAAACTTTGACGTGAAATTTGAATACGAAGATGAAGTCGGGGAAAGTTGAGTCAGTTACAAGGTTGAAGCACCACAACATGGAGAATATGATAGAAAAAGAGTTGAAGTCGTTCTGACGTCGGGAAGGGTAGATATGCCTGTTGACAACTTTTTTGTCAAAGTGGTAACTTTGGATTTAAGGTGTTTAGAGGGGTGGGAGCAAAAAGTGGTTGGGAGAAAAGTTGTAGAGCGTAGTGGAGTTCTTAAGAAAAAAGTTGGTTTCAAGTTGATTGGAATAATTTAAAAAAAGATATGGAGTAAAAAGTGCATTTTTGGGGAAGATGTATAAAAGTGACATTAACTATATCTTATTTTGGAGTTAGAAGAAAAGTGTTGGGAGATGAAAGATAGATCTTTAAATTCTGCATCGAATAAGCTTTGTTTTATGATTTTTGGACTTTTTTAGACAAAGCTATGAATTTTTTAAGAAATTAAAATTTTGGGGAAAAATTTTTAAATTTGACGATCTAGACCGTCCGATCTGGAAAGTTAAGCAACGGTGAGGCGTTTTTTGTAACTTTTGAAGTAGTTATCGGAAAAATATGATTGAGGTGTCAATCGACGCGGAAAAATCAGGCGAATTTTTTAAGATCATTTTTGAAGGGGTCACTTGAGTCTGAGGGTGGGATATTTGAGTCTGAAGGTTTAAATCAGTGGAAATTAAATTTAAAAATTATAAAAATTAAAGGGAATATTAGAAAATGATTTTTAGGAAAAAGGACACTTGAGTCTCATTTTTTAATTTGAGTCTGGGACTGAAATTTTTATAAAAATGTTAAACTCTAATATTTTTTAAAAAATAACTTTAATTCGGAACGCGTTGCAGAAAACGCGTTGCCGGAGGCAACCGCCAGAATTAAAAATTATTTTAAAAATTCGGAACGCGTTGCAGAAAACGCGTTGCCGGAGGCAACCGCCAGAATTAAAAATTATTTTAAAAATTCGGAACGCGTTGCAGAAAACGCGTTGCCGGAGGCAACCGCCAGAATTAAAAATTATTTTTAAAATCTGGAACGCGTTGCAGAAAACGCGTTGCCGGAGGCAACCGCCAGACTTAAAAATTATATTTTAAAAATTCGTAACGCGTGCAAAAAACGCGTTGCCGGAGGCAAACGCCAGGAATTAAAATTATTTTAAAAAATCGGAACGCGTTGCAGAAAACGCGTTGCCGGAGGCAACCGCCAGACTTAAAAATTATATTTTAAAAATTCGTAACGCGTGCAAAAAACGCGTTGCCGGAGGCAAACGCCAGAATTAAAAATTATTTTAAAAATTCGGAACGCGTTGCAGAAAACGCGTTGCCGGAGGCAACCGCCAGAATTAAAAATTATTTTTAAAATCTGGAACGCGTTGCAGAAAACGCGTTGCCGGAGGCAACCGCCAGACTTAAAAATTATATTTTAAAAATTCGTAACGCGTGCAGAAAACGCGTTGCCGGAGGCAACCGCAAGAATTAAAAATTATTTTTAAAATCTGGAACGCGTTGCAGAAAACGCGTTGCCGGAGGCAACCGCCAGACTTAAAAATTATATTTTAAAAATTCGTAACGCGTGCAGAAAACGCGTTGCCGGAGGCAACCGCCAGACTTAAAAATTATATTTTAAAAATTCGTAACGCGTGCAGAAAACGCGTTGCCGGAGGCAACCGCCAGAAAATTATTTTAAAAATTCGGAACGCGTTGCAGAAAACGCGTTGCCGGAGACAACCGCCAGAATTGAAAATATTTTTTTAAATTCGAAATGCAAGACAGAAAACATGCGGGCCGAAGGCCCGCATGTTTTTTATGACTTAAATGTAAAAATTTATAACTTTTGAAGTATTAGACATAGAAAGATGGTTGAGGTGTCATTCGATGGGGAATTGAATGAGGAGTTGAATGAAAATATTTTCAAAGGTGTCACTTGAGTCTGAGAATGGACATTTGAGTCTGAAATTTTCAAATACTGGGAAATTGATCCAAATTAGTTTAAATCAGTTGTAATAACGCTGGAGTCAGCCTTTATACCCAAAAAGCTTATTTACATGTCAGCAATTCGCGCCGAACGCTGGTTATCTATATATAATAGTAAAAGGGCAGTCAGCTAAAAAAAAGTCCCCAGAGCTTTTGAGTGGGTGTATCGGGGTGGGGTTTTTTGCTATAGATGGGAAATTTAATGTAGTTTTCAGGAAAACCTCCAAAAGTTGGGGGAAAGGGGCGAGTTTTTTAGATATTTTGAAAAAACGTGTTTTTTCGAAACTTTGACGTAAAATTTGACATAAAAG